CCCCAAAACCCCAAAACCCCAAAACCCCAAAACCCCTTTTGTGATAAATTATATTGATTTTATTATGGAACTAAGGTATATGACCACTTCATTTTGGACTGAGCCTGACCAGGCTTCTTCATACCACAGGCACATAGTCGAGCATCATCTGGCTTTAAGCATTTATACTGGAAAATTATGGAAAAAGTTTTGATTGTTCGTTCTAGGCTACCTACATACCATCTCACATCAAAACGCAAGAGGAAAGTGGTGATAAATCCAGAATTTCACCTCCTGAGTCCCAATTTTCGTGAGAACTATATCAAGGCGAAGAAGAAAGCTGATCGATTTGAGGAGGTTCAGCAGTGTAAGTATCCCTATTGACCTTACCTTATTCTAAGTTTTATATATTTTACTAGAAATTTAGGTAAATAAAATCTGGAAAGAGAACAAGAGACTGTTTAATAACCTCAAGAATTGTAAAGGTCAATTATATAAACTTAACCCTAAGAGGAAGATTAAGGATTTGAAAAGTCCTCACCCGAAAATTGACAAGAAAGACCCAGCTGGATTTTTATCCTCGGATATGGTCAAGGCGAAGAAGGCCGATAGAAGTGTTTCAAGTATTCGCAAGCATAATTTCTCGACAAAGTAATTCTTCGTAAATTTGACTCTCTAGTGGCTTTCATTCAGTCAAAGAGAGCAAACGTAAAGCCCAGAAATAGCTTTGATTCATTCTCATCAGAGCCTTACACAAACAGATTGGAAACTAGTCTGGACAAAAGCACTAGTAGCCTTCACAAGGAAAAAGTTAGACGAATAAATGAAGGAAATAGAAGGTATTTCTCTCTCAAATCACTCTAAATTAGACTCCAAGAATCTTTAAACAACGTAAAGCCCACTATTTGTATCAAGGATTTGAAATAACCAGAAGAGCTTTAAGAATCCGAAAAAGAGTTATCAGAAATTTGTAGAGCTGGTCAATGTTGTAAAGCCAGTAAAAGGTACATTTTACTCATATCCCAAATTATTATGTATATAGCCATTTCTAAGGAGAAATTGTTAGTAAATACTAAACGGAAATCCAGAAGGTGGAAACAAAAGTTAAATTTGCCAGACATCAATCAGCACATACCACTATTCAAAAGGAATGCCTCTAGAGTTGACCAGGTTAGTCCTGCTAAGAATGAAGAGATCTTGGCTCAGATTAACCAAAGCACTGTTGATAAGTACTATTCATTTGATCGGAAATAACAGCAGGCAAAATTCTTTCTATCAAGAAAGCTCTATGAGCATTCTAAAAAATCATGAGATGATTATTGAGAAGAACATTAAGAAGTATTTGGAGAATAAGCCGTTGGGAGTTCCAGAAGCAGTATTTACTGATATCAGTACGAAGTCTAACTCCTCTCTAGACAATTATAAAAGGAAGAAGCAAGCATTTAAATGTCAGCGGCTGAGGAGTATCACTGAAGAGATGGCTGTTCCTACTCAGAGAGAAGAACAAAAGAAGATCTATACTAAGTCTGGGATTAAATTGAATATTATTTTTTAGTACAAATTATTCAATTTTTGGCAATTTTAAAGGGGTTTTGGGGTTTTGGGGTTTTGGGGTTTTGGGG